AGAGAGAGAGAGAGAGTGAGTTTGTAGGGGTTTTACTTATTGGTTTACTTATTTCCTCATTGGAATTGCATTCGATCCTCTTGTCATCATTTTCATGCATGGCTTTTTAGGCATAAAAAATGTGTTATTTTTTAAATTATGTCAGATAGAATTATTTCAGACAATCAAAAATAACATGATTACATGTGTTTACAGAGAAGCTGCATGCTACAAAAAACACGCGAGTAAATAACTTTTTAGACTAAATAAGTTAAAAGCATTTCTATAGGCCTACTTAGTCAGACGACATTGCATTTAAATCGTACGTGGATTACTTCCAGAGGGCCAACTTTTAAAAATAAATGGCAAATCAGTAAGTTTCTCAACACAATCGTTTAACTTTCGTCTATGCGCAACATTTTGTATTTGACTTTGTCGCTCCGAGAACATTTAACTTATTTTAAAACTAATATTTTTGTAGTATATTTGTGATGTTTAAATCTATCAAATCTATAAAATGTGTTAAATAATGTAGGCTAATTTGTATTATGTACTGTCCGATACAGACAACGATCGAGCAGCTGTTGCTAATTGTTCAAGCATTTCTGTTCTATTATGGCAGTGTGACTTTTAATCTAATTTTTAAAGATAATTCGCATCCTGATTTATATACTGCGCTAAATAGCTACACACAGTCTAAAGGTTCACACTTTTTAGTAGCTATAATTATCAGGATGCGGCTCAATTTTCACTGAGATTCTTATAAATAATGCTATTATTATTAGAATTTTAAAATTATGCCAGAATTCATTCGCTCATGCTCTGGTATCTCTGTCTGCAATCATCAAAGCTTACCGATTTGTTATTGTCCCAAGAACATAGTCACTACCCAGCTTGTATATTGGTCCAAAAAAAAATAAAGTTATAGACACACACACACACACACACACACACACACACACACACACACACACACACACGAAAAAAAGAGTGCAAAAGTCTACATTCAACATTTACTAATAATATGTCTTGTAAACCATCAGTCTTTTAAAAATATTTATTTCATAATAATTTTATATAAATATAGAATTCATCTGGAATAATATTATCACATACAAACAGAAGAATGTTTTGTAATTGTAAATGATCTGTCTAATTTCCCTCTGGTCAGAGAGGCAGAGCTGCTTTTGTTATTTCCAAGCTGCATTTCTAAAACAGGTCAGAAGATGAAGTTGGCTAGTTTGCATTTGTCTTTTTTTTTATCATTTCAGGTCAGAGTGAGAAAGGGCAGGAGATAGAGAGGCACAGAAGACAACCATCCCTGTCTGGGGTGGTTGAACAAATCCCATTATTAATTTTAACAACAGAGACTCCTAAATACCAACCAACTAAATCCAGAATACCAACTAAAGCTCAAAGTCAGGTTAAAGACAGGCAGGGACTTGCCACATAGTCACACACTCATGGACAGGTCTACTCTCACATATATCTGCCATGCACACCAACAAACATAAACATTCAGAGGCACTATATAATAAAACACACAAGGATCAGTAATTCATGAGTAATTAGTTTTCCCTTAATGCATAGATTTAAACCAGAGATTGAAACATCTGTAGTTTTGACTATTTTCAAAATATCCAGATATATTTCTATTCATGTTCAGATAAGTACAGAAATAATGAAAGTCATGATAATTCACCATTTTTATTCCAGATGTGCCAAATACAAGATTAATCATTTGGCAAAGGTCAAAGGAACCCTGTGCCATTTTATATGAATTTTTATAGTAATTGTACTTCTTCTGTAATCAGTTCTAATACATACTTTGATCTTATTTGTATGTTTTATTTCCCATAATTTGATGGATATTTTTCCATACATATCAATCTTACAAAATTGCTAAAGCTTATGTAAATACTTTTCTGAGCACTTACCCATAACTTGTAAGATGCCAAAGGATGACATCATCAAACAAGTCACCAAAACCACATCACAACCCCAGATAAATTAGAATGGAATTTTACCTGTGTGAAATTTTTCTTAATTAACATGAAACCTGAAACTGTTGATGCTGACTAAGGCAATAATATTGTTTTGTTGATTTTTCCCCTAACTAAAACACACACACAAAGAGTGTCTGATCTTTGATATCACAATTGTCTTTGATCAACTTTGTGTAATGACACACATTTGGAGGATCATTTTACAGTGGCTGTTTAGGTGATGTGCTGAAAATGTCCCTTTTTCTGTTCAGACTTGCTGACAGACTTAATGACAGATATAACCTACAGTACTGTCTGCTTTCCAGACATTCACACACACACACACACACACACACACACATGTTGTGTTTCCATGTTTCATGGGGACATTCCATAGGCGTAATGGTTTTTATACTGTACAAACTGTATGTGCTATTGCCCTACACCAACCCTACCCCTAAACCTACCCCTTACAGGAAACTTTGTGCATTTTTACTTTCTCAAAAAAACTAATTCTGTATGATTTATAAGCTTGTTTCCTCATGGGGACCTAAAAAATGTCCCCATAACGTGATAAATACCAGGTACACACATACACAGACACACACACACACACACACACACACACACACACACACTTACCTTTCTAAAATCTTTGTCTATTGTGCATAGATAAAATCTCAAATTCTGTGACTATACTTTTAAAAGTGACAATTTCTAGTTTTTAAGTATTTTTTCACCTGGCAGATGGTAAAACGAGCAAAAGATGCCATAAACTTATATTAAAGTAAAGTATCAAAGTATCAGAGAATCACACAGACTTGGGGGCTCTCTTTGCTAGTAAACAACCTCCTAGCAACTACTCAGAATACCCTAGCAACCACATAGTAATGCATGAAAACTCAGAGTAACTCAGCAACCTTGTAGCAACAGCCCACAACCCCAATGATCATGCTGGAGAGTTTTTTATGAAAATGTAACTTACAGACTAACCCTCGTGAAACCTTAAAGTGAAATAAAAATTCAATCCCATCTATTTTCTAAAAACATGTTATAGGTTTTATTGTGAATGATTAATCTGTGCATAAATATCATAATTCTTAATCAAAATGTTATAATTCTCATTTGCCGGACTTCTCCAATAATTGATTCCACTTAAACCCCATCTGTTTCTTACAATCAACTGCAAACTCGCATTCAGTCAAAACCAAGTCTCCGCCCCATACTTTTTTTTTTTCTTTTTCAAAAATCTGTTTTACTCAGATGCACGTCACAATACGGAAGAAAAGATCTTTTGCTACTTCCATTTCATTACGACTTCAAACCTGCAACCATTTGAGATTTTTAGAAGTGAATACAGGCTAATTTAATGTATACACAAATAATTTTCTCCTTAGTTAAACCTTCAGTTTAGCTAGTTTCTAGTGATATTTTTCAGAAATTTTGATCCAACTAACACACACAACAAAGCACATATGGAGTTCAAGCTAAACTGTTCAAAAGTACAACTTCACTGATGTGGAATCTTAGGGGCAAACCATATAGTGTTTCTGTGGAATCTAGAAGCGCACACACAAATTCTCACCAACACAGATATACGCAGAAGGAGACACACACAACTGCGTTTTAAGTGGTCACCTTATCCCTCGCTCTCTAATGCTGCTCAATCATCAGCTCCCGGCCGCAGCTTCTGGACTCAGTGGAGGGGTCAGGGGGAGAGAAAGTGTCTCGGCCGATGATCAGAGGTACAGCCTCATCTGTCAACGGTACAAAAAACCCTTCCTGTTGGACACAGAGACACCCCTCAGTGTGAACAGGCTCCATCAGATGCTATAATAAATGTGTATGATAACTAAACAGAATGCAGTGAGAGAATTATTAGGACTACAAAGGACTATTAATGAAAGATAAAGAACACTGAAAAAGAAAGAGAGATGGAAGACAGTATTTTTTCACTTGCAGATATCTTTCAACATGGTAGTCCCCAACCACCCTTGTATCTCACACACACACACACACACACACGCACACGCACACACAGAGACACAGATGCATACTCGTCTCCTGGATGTCCTGCTTTGATTCTTAAGGGTTTTTCCCTCCTCTCAGACGCTGTCTGTCATCACTGTGTGTGTGTTTGAGAGAAAGAGAGGGCGGTATACCAAGAGGACTTGGTTGGATATACTGCTGGGTCCAAAGTCTGAAAAAAGTCTACAATTCTATGCAAAATTGTCAATTTTCCTAATAAGCATAATAATTTAAGTGAGAAGTTGAGCTGAAAAAAAAAAAACATGAATTAAAAATGTCTTAGAATTTAGTTTGTTTAAAACTTTAATTTACTTTTGCTTTAATGACAGAAGCACTCAAACTCACAAGTCTGTGTAAAAGCTGATGATCATGTTCTCCAGTTTGATTTGAGATTATCCAAAATTCATCTGACTGTCTGTACAGGGAGTCACATGATCAGTGGCATAAATATACATATTTTATTTTCAGTGGCATAAATATACATATTACATTATTATTCATTAAATGTCATAATGTTTCTTTGTTTTAAAATGTTAAAAATCCTAAAACTTTTTCAGGTTTAAATTAGATTTTGAACCCCAGACTTTTGAATCTCACTGTATGCGTATGTGTGAATTGAAGGAAGTGCATTGAGCGCCTGAGGCCACAATGGAGGTTTTTAGATGTGTACCAATTTCTGACCACCCGACTGACTTCCTTATCTGTCAGAGGTGTGTGACGCTGAGCGGGTATCAGGTTCTGTTCTGGGTGTCGCCCCGTGA